ACTCTTGTCTCTTCTTACGAAATTGGGAAGTGGAAATTAGGCTTTATATTTTTAATGAAGAATTTAATACTGTTTTTAGTCATTCTAATGGATTTATTTTAATACATATTTGTTTTTATTTAAAATATATTGCAACTCTGGAATAGTGATTAGGATGTTAGTTAAAGGCATTTTAGTATTATTAATATTCCTTTCTTAACTTCTTTAAATCATTTATTAATATTCCTTTCTTAACTTCTTTAAATCAGTCATTAATATTCCTTTCTTAAGTTCTTTAAATCATTTATTAATATTCCTTTCTTAACTTCTTTAAATCATTTATTAATATTCCTTTCTTAAGTTCTTTAAATCAATCATTAATATTCCTTTCTTAACTTCCCTAAATCAGTCATTAATATTCCTTTCTTAAGTTCTTTAAATCAATCATTAATATTCCTTTCTTAACTTCCCTAAATCAGTCATTAATATTCCTTTCTTAACTTCCCTAAATCAGTCATTAATATTCCTTTCTTAAGTTCTTTAAATCAGTCATTAATATTCCTTTCTTAAGTTCTTTAAATCATTTATTAATATTCCTTTCTTAAGTTCTTTAAATCAATCATTAATATTCCTTTCTTAACTTCCCTAAATCAATCATTAATATTCCTTTCTTAACTTCCCTAAATCAGTCATTAATATTCCTTTCTTAAGTTCTTTAAATCAATCATTAATATTCCTTCTTAACTTCCTAAATCAGTCATTAATATTCCTTTCTTAACTTCCCTAAATCAGTCATTAATATTCCTTTCTTAAGTTCTTTAAATCAGTCATTAATATTCCTTTCTTAACTTCCCTAAATCAGTCATTAATATTCCTTTCTTAACTTCCCTAAATCAGTCATTAATATTCCTTTCTTAACTTCCCTAAATCAGTCATTAATATTCCTTTCTTAACTTCCCTAAATCAGTCATTAATATTCCTTTCTTAACTTCCCTAAATCAGTCATTAATATTCCTTTCTTAACTTCCCTAAATCAGTCATTAATATTCCTTTCTTAACTTCCCTAAATCAGTCATTAATATTCCTTTCTTAAGTTCTTTAAATCATTAATTAATAAGAATTTAATATTTTTAATCCCATCTACATACTAATAAAACAGGACATCATTTTAAAATCCTTTTCCAACTTTTCATTATAATACATAGATTTTTTTATTTAAATTCTGGCATAATAAAGTTCTGAATAAACTGGCTACAGAACCATTGGGAATTAATGTTTTAAATATGGTCTTTAAATAAGTTATGAAAAATTATGGGATGACTCACTTTTAATAACAATAGTTATAATTCTGCAGCTTTTTCACATACTTTTATTTAAACATTTTGTTGCTTTACTACACGCTACGTACTTTAAATAATGGATTAATAAGAATTCTGTGTGTTTTTTTTTTTTTTAAGATTTTTCCTCATTGCAAAAACAGGAATATCATTTTTTTTCACATATGTTCAACCTTTTCATTGAAACATACGATATATTCTTTAAACGATTTGGATGTAATAAAATACTGAATAAGATTGGTACCAAATCACGAGCAACAATTAGGAAGTTAATTAAGTCAACAGTGAGACAATGAATGGGTGAGCAACTATGTTTATGGAATGTTTGTCGTGTGTGTTTATACTCTGTTACATATAATGACATAAGAAAGTGATAGATTGCTACTTTTGTCACCAAGATTACTGCTAGTACTACTGTTACTAGTATTTTTTTACTATTGCTACTCTTAGTACTTCTACTACTACTTTTGTTACTACTTATACTACTGCTAGCACTATTACTATTACTACTACCACTAATACTATTATTGGTATTACTACTAATATTATTATTATTATTGGTATTACTACTATTACTAGTGTCTTTGCTGCTAGTGCTACTGCTACCACTGATAGTAGTGTTGTTGCTACTACCACTAACTATTAATGGTATTACTATTACTACCACTATTACTGCTACTGCTTCTGCTATTTCTACAACAAAGCAACTGCTATTGCTCCTATTACTAATACTACTACTACTACTACTACTACTACCACTACTACTACTACTACCACTACTACTACTATTACTACTAACTACTACTTCTACTAACTACTATTACTAAGACTACCATCACTACTGCCAACTACTACTACTCCTACTACTAATACTAATACTACTACTACTACTACTACTACTAATAATAATAATAATAATAATAATAATAATAATAATATAGAATAACAAACATATTAAAGATCTCACAGAAATACTTTTACAATTCTTCTAATATAATGAACATACAATTACTCTCAGTCGATTCTTCCGACAGTCTTTTAAAATATTTATAACTTAGTTTCCATCTCTTAAAATTACTAAACTGAATCGTTTACCCACAGTTAAAACAATTAGGACGAGACTTCTTATTCCGTCGCTTCATTAAACTGTCATGAAGTATTTAATAACTTTACAATCATTTTTTTTGGCGTCGCTCTGCATGACTAAATATGTTAAGTTTGTGTGTATGAGTATCATAAGATTTATATCACAGCTTGGGTATAGTTCTCGTTTCAATTAAAGCTGTTTCTTACTGCCTCAGATCACTGCTTTACTTTCCTGCTTAATACAGGGCGCGCCCCCCCCCCTCAAAAAAAAAAAACTCCCGAATTTCGCTGATTCATTGGTTCGGCGCTAGTAAAGTGTAGGGGGTCATGGGGAGGTCTTTCTATAGCATATGCCTTCCCGTTTCCAGTTACTCTCATGGCTTAATCTTCTCGCCGTGTGAGCGGCGAGAAGATCAATGGAAGTGTTGCGAGAACTGTTTCCAGGGCACTTCCAGATATTGCTCCTTGTGACGTTTTTCTTTGGGCCATCTGAAAGCTGAAGTCCACAAACATCGCCCAGGAACCGTTGATGAACTGAAGGTTGCTGAGTGATGCGAACCTTCAGAAATCGACTACAAATATGCATGGCGAATGAAGGCTGGACGATATCATATTCAAAACCAGTTGATGGTAAACTATATTAAATGCACTTTTATATTATGTACTAAAATTTTTAGCAGCATTTACCATGCCGTTTTTGTTAATCTTTAAAATCTGGATTTCTTTTTGGTCGCACCCAGTAGTTTTCTGTAATAAGTTCATAATTTTTAATGTATTTTTAACAGAGTTATTGACTGCTCTTTCATTTTTGGTTAGCAGTAAAGGCGGTTAATTGAGTTTAAGGTCAGAAAGTAATTGTGTTTTAGTGTTATATGCAACATTTTCATCATCAGACGAGAATACTTTAATCACTAAATGGGAATTAAATTCTCAATGCAATTTCTTTGAGAGAGATAAACCTCTCGGCGTATATTCTTTGGGAGAGATAAACCTCTCGGCGTATATTCTTTGGGAGAGATAAACCTCTCAGTTTATATTCTTTGGGAGAGATAAACCTCTCAGTGTATATTCTTTGGGAGAGATAAACCTCTCGGCGTATATTCTTTGGGAGAGATAAACCTCTCGGCGTATATTCTTTGGGAGAGATAAACCTCTCGGCGTATATTCTTCGGGAGAGATAAACCTCTCGGCGTATATTCTTTGGGAGAGATAAACCTCTCGGCGTATATTCTTTGGGAGAGATAAACCTCTCGGCGTATATTCTTTGGGAGAGATAAACCTCTCGGCGTATATTCTTTGGGAGAGATAAACCTCTCAGTTTATATTCTCTGGGAGAGATAAACCTCTCAGTTTATATTCTTTGGGAGAGATAAACCTCTCGGCGTATATTCTTTGGGAGAGATAAACCTCTCGGCGTATATTCTTTGGGAGAGATAAACCTCTCGGCGTATATTCTTTGGGAGAGATAAACCTCTCAGTTTATATTCTTTGGGAGAGATAAACCTCTCAGTTTATATTCTTTGGGAGAGATAAACCTCTCAGTTTATATTCTTTGGGAGAGATAAACCTCTCAGTTTATATTCTTTGGGAGAGATAAACCTCTCAGTTTATATTCTTTGGGAGAGATTAACCTCTCAGTTTATTTTCTTTGGGAGAGATAAACCTCTCAGTTTATATTCTTTGGGAGAGATAAAACCTCCAGTTTATATTCTTTGGGGAGAGATAAACCTCTCGGTGGATATTTTTTTGGGGAAAAACCTCTCGGGGGTTATTCTTTGGGAGAGATAAACCTCTCGGTGTATATTCTTTGGGAGAGATAAACCTCTCGGTGTATATTCTTTGGGAGAGATAAACCTCTCGGCGTATATTCTTTGGGAGAGATAAACCTCTCAGTTTATATTCTTTGGGAGAGATAAACCTCTCAGTTTATATTCTTTGGGAGAGATAAACCTCTCAGTTTATATTCTTTGGGAGAGATAAACCTCTCAGTTTATATTCTTTGGGAGAGATAAACCTCTCAGTTTATATTCTTTGGGAGAGATAAACCTCTCAGTATATATTCTTTGAGAGAAATACACCTTTCAGTGTATATTCAGTGTATATTCTTATACACCTCTCAGTGTATATATCCTGCGCCTCTAATTCAATATTATTTGCGAAATTTAATATTGAAATAACCCAATAAAAATGTCATTTATATATTTCATAAACACAATTCAAGAATGGAGGATTTGTTTTGATGTTTCTTTATGGACTATTCTAGCACTGATTTAATCATTTCAGAGATGAACAGAGGCAAGAGCAAGTGCCATGAAGTTCCTCTAATATACAATATAGACATTGTGTACAGGAGGAATTAAGGTGGTTTTTCAACTAACTAGACCCCTGGAACACTCCCAGTGCCTCAGGGAGGTGACATGCACTTCTCCACATAACTTTGCCTTGCCAACACTATTACATCATTTCCCATTCTTCTCTTTACACCTGAAAATTTTTAGTCTTCTAACAAAAGGAGCTGCTTAGTCAATAATATTTTATGCAACACTTTTATTTTTAATCCAGCTCCTGCTTACGAAAGAAAGGCTAAATAGAGCTCACCTATCCTGAAGTCAACTCTACAGGTGTAGTTAGCCTGGTCAGAAGTCATAACACGTTGGATGTGAAGAGCGGGCATCTGGCCAGGCCTAAATGTCACTCTTCCTTGCAACAGTTCACTATTGACGGTGTGTCTCTGCTCTGGCGGCTGGAGGCGACCCGGCCGGTTGTCGTAACTGAGGAAAAAGAGAGACTGGTCAGGGATCCATATGTCTTGTGTTTTTTAGCCACATCTGTAGACTTATCTTATTCAGGAATCATCGTTCTGACAAACCCAACGTAAATATATTGTTGCGAAACTCCTCGAATATCAGTCTGGATATTATTGATTTGATTTTGTTTTGTTATAATTCAAATTTAAATATTATTGATTGAGTACCAATAGATTAAGTCTCATTTAAGTATATTCTTTTTCGTATACATAATCAAGGTTAGATTAAGCTTAGTTAGATCTGAATAGTTTAAGTTAGATTGTTAGGAGTTATGCAATTATTTTATTTACATAAAACAATGACAGCAATAATAGGAATAAAAAATATAATAATAATAACTAAATACAATAATAATAATAAGATTAATAATAATAATAATAATAATAATAATAATAATAATAATAATAATAATAATAATAATAATAATAATAATAATACGAAGAAGAAGGTGAAGACACAGAACGGTTGAGACTCGAACCTGAGGCCAGTAAGTCGTAAAACTCACTGGCCATATAACAAACAGTTTTCGAGATAAAGGCGATCATTATATTTTTTTTACCTTTTATAGGCCAAAAAATCAACCTTTATTAACTGAATATTTCATTTCCTTGCTCGATTTACAATCAGGAAATCGAAAATATATGAAAAAAAATTTTTTTTGATCAGTTTTAACGAAACTTATCATTAGTTTTAAGAGTAAGAACTCAAGCTTGGTTATCAGACCATTCCAAAAACATATACTTCTTTTAAGATTATTGAAGTTAACCATTTTATTGGTGATCAGGATGAAGTTCCTTTACACCTGGCAACTGAGTCCAGTTGGGATGATGGATGACAGTACTTAACAAGTCTCAGTGTTCCTCGGTCGTCCAGTGAAGTCCTGTATTTATCCTCCAAACTACAAATTAATTGATTTGCTTCTTTGAGAATATAGTATTTGGCTGTTGTAATTCAGTAATGTAATTACCTGGCTAAAGTTTTAATAGTGAATAACAGATGATTTGGGTTACTTTTAGCAATACTGTATATTCCCTTCAACTCAAATAAACCCGATCGATCATCAAACCAAACAATTCCTCTTACGCTTGAGGCTCATTCACAACTAGAGCACAACGGGAAACCATCGCAATAAATCTTAAGAAAAATTACTGGAAATATTTCAGCTGTGAACTAGTCGACCAAGATGTGAAAGAGGCACATCTGTAATTTTTACCACTTCAAATGGGTTACGTGATTGGTTGAGCTGCAGGAGAACATCGATGCCGTTCCCTACAACTGTGATGTGGAGGGAGTGGAGATACCATCTTCCTAGTTGTTACTTTTGTAGTGGGAACATATCTGGACTTTTTACAAAATCCAAGCATATGATCATTCGTCCAGACCTAGATTCGGTGCTCAGACCCGTCCACCACGATGACCCGTTGTCAATTTCGTTTCCTCGAGTGCAGTGGTTCATATCCTTTCTCGTCCTATAGCCCCGCGAGACTCTTCAGGGTATTACCATGACCCTTATAATAAATTTTGAAATAGTGAACCTTGTGAAAAGGTAAGATTAAACATAATGATAGGAAGACCATGGTTTACTGAAAATGCCACAGAACAAAAACCTTCAAAAATTCCACATAGCCTCTACAAATGCCAGAACACTGCAAATTCCACAGAACTATTGAACATCATACAAAACCTACGTCTCATTCGCTCAGTGGGAGGATTGAAATTGTTTTGCAGCCATAAGTTTATCGAAGCGAGGAGCTGTGCTCGACAGGCAACACCTCATGTCAGCATCGATCACAAACCTATTGCGTGCCTTCGTTTTCAGTGTTACCATTGCTGAGAATCCAACCTCGCATCGATAGGTTGACGGGGACTGGATCAGCATGGTCAGTGCACGTATCGAAAGAATGGGACATTCGTCCTGCATTTTTGCCCAAAATGTAGAGAGTTCTTGCTCAGTTAAGTCGACTTTCAGTTGAGAATCCTCACGAATTTGAAGAAATTCTACCTTAGCAGCAACATTAGTATCACTGATGGCACTGTCCTTGACTGAAAAGGGTCTGTAGATCAGTATAGCGGCCGTCCAGTCCTGGAAAGTAACTTTTGATGGCGTTATTCACTGTCAAATGATGAGCTGAGATCTTCTCATGGAAACTGCATTCAGCATCTGGCACAGAGTCTAGGAGAGTCGTCATCTGAGTGAAGAAAGTTGTGTCACCGTCCTCAACTCTTTTCTGGTAAAGTTGAATCTTACACTTGAACGCTGCCACTTCGTCACGAGCTGTGTGCACGACTGTAAGGTTTCCTTGGATTGAAATATTCAGAGAATTCACTTCAGAGAAGAAATCTGCCAACTAGGCAGCCTTTCTTACAAAACAGTCATCGTGCAGCTTTCCATGAAGCAGATTCTCCTTGGCAGTACGACCAGCATTGTTATTTCCTCTCCAAGTTGTAGCACGCGATTTAGAATCTTGCCTCGCAAGAGCCAACGTACCTCTGTGTGAAATAGGAGAACAGAGAAGTCAGCACCAATTTCTTCACGAAGCACTTTAAAAAATCCCTTAAGTCGTTGTGCTCCCTCGAATGTGGTTTACAATATTTACAACGCCTGTGAGTGGGAGAGTCTTCATCGCCAAAGCATGCCGATGAATCATAGAATGAGTGAAGGAGACATGTGGAGCAACGTTCTTCACGGAAGCTTTGAAGCCGGATTTGCAACCGGTCATAGAAGGATCCCCCACACTCCGACAAGTGCTTCCCAGCCTAGCTCGTGTTTAAGGAGAAAGTCTTCAAGGATTTTGAAAACATCTTCACCACAATTGGTTGTGGCCAATGGTTCAGAAAACTAGTACTCCTCCTTCATAACTTCCCTGTCAAGGTAACGAACATAAACAAGAAGTTGGGAACATGAAGCAACATCCGTTGACTCGTCCAGCCGCAATGAATACACTGGACTACTACTCACAGCAGCCACTACCTGCAGCAGAGTATCCTCACTCATGTCCGTTATCCGACTTCTGACTATTATTCGAAAGGGAAATTGCCCTCAACTTGTTTGCCTGCTGTCCTCCAAGAACCACCACCGTTGCTTCCAGAATGCAAGGCTTGATCAGGGCGTCGCCAATGGAATGAGGTTTCTTTATATGCACGATTTTTAGAGCAATACTGTATGAAACTTCCAATGCTGCTTCATTCTGACGAGCGAAGTGACCAGTGGAATCGATACGTCTGGCCTTCAGAGAAGCTTCTTTTCACTTGAAAAGTCCAAGCTTTTGTCCACCAGATGGCTGTGGCAAGACTCAAATTGGACCTTCAGTTTGCTTGGCTTCATCCTCTTGTGACTCAAAACTTTCATGCAAACGACACATTGAGGCTTGACCACAGCGTTTGAAACCCATTCTTGAGAAAGGCTTCACTCTACGTACGCTTCTTGGCAGGCATAGTGCAAACAAGAGTCATGGAGCAAGAGTGACATATGGACATCCCCCACCGTAGCTATGAACTGACTGAGTGACTGGTTGTGGTTGATGTGTTTACTGTAGCAGACCACCCCACGTGTAATCAGTGTTGCCACTCACTAAACTGGTAAAAGTCCAACTGGCTAATTCAGATAAAGTATATGAAAAATTATATTCTTCCAAACCCTTTGTGACCCCCCGAGAAACCCGAAACGACCCCCAGGGGGGTCACGACCCCCAGGTTAAGAACCTCTGCTCTAGCGGATGGACTAGATGCTATAGAAGACAAAAATGAAGCTGGCGAAGGTGCGATTCGAGGTCATTCGCGAAAGTCTACCTAGACCGAGCACTCAAATGAAGAGAAAGTGAACCGAAGTCTTTTCCAAACTGAGCTAATTGGCTTTGTTAAGAGATCTAGAGAGAAAGGAGAATTTCCTGTCTCAAAGCTGAATCAGAATCATTTACTCAAGAGCATTCTAGTGTGTCATTATCGTAAAAGAAATATTTAGCAGCATTCCTTAGAGCAGGCAGTCAGCTATGCTTTGCTATGATATCAGTAGACCTTTCACAAGCCAGCCACAGACATACAGTATCTCAATGGCGTCTTTTCGTCAATTCTTGAAAGTGAATTATGAAATTTTTTTCTTGCATTACGAGCATGTAATTCCGTGCACATAGACCGCCCACTACATCTGCCTAGAGGTAATGTGCAATTAAATAGCAATTCTTTTCAGTGCAATCATATACAGCAGTGCTATGCAATGCAGTCCTCTACAGCAGTCCTATACAATGCAGTCATATACAGCAGTCCTATACAATGCAGTCATATACAGCAGTCCTATACAATGCAGTCATATACAGCAGTCCTATACAATGCAGTCATATACAGCAGTCCTATACAATGCAGTCATATACAGCAGACATCAATGGAATCTCTGCAGTGATCTCGTATGTATGTATGTATAATGTTCGCCAAGACCGTAGTCCTGGCACGGGTCTCAATCTTGCGATGACCCGTCTCTGGCTCCCGAGGGAGAAAGGTTTCTACAATGATGCGACATATGCTGTTCAAGCACTCTTCTGGTCAGTTCAACTGGTGCATCTCATAAGCAACAACACCGTATGTACTCCTAACTATGGACACTAACAAGGAGGAGGATATGTCGTTATCACAGGTAACAGCTTGTCTGGTTCGTTGACTCCATGGTACACTAGTGTGGCCGCAGTCATCTCTGGTTCCTCTTCGGGAGGGAATATCACTCCTAGTTGCCTGCGGAGCGTCTCAGTAACTTCGCACTCCAGAAGATAGTGTGTTAAGGGCCGCTGGACAACGTGCTGACAGTACTGGCACATCTCCTCCTCAGCCTTGTCTACCATCATCTTGGCTGTGGGAAAGCCCAAACGAAGCCGATGGATGGCGGTACACTGCGCTCTGGACCAGCTTCTATCATATGGAGGGGTTCTTCCTGAGTCGCTGCTCGGTACCACTGTTGAGATGGGGTATCCCCCTAA